CTGGGCTCCATGATACATGACAATGTGGGTTTCCCAACAAGACTGTAAGCTCCACGGGGGCAATGTGTTTACCTAATCCTTAAGTGGATCCCTGATAACTCACAAAATATATCAGACATGGGAAGAACTTAAAAAAAACAAAAAGCTTAATTGTGGAATGAATGAATGCCAAAATACTGTGGAAGGTAGTACAGCTTAGTGAATAAAAACATTGGCTCTGAAGACAGATTGCCTTGGTTCAAATCCTGGCTCTACCATTTAGTAGCTGTACAACTTTGTACAAGTTACTTATCCTAAGTTTGAATTTCCCATAAATGAATAAAAAGTAGTACATACCTTAAAGGATCTTTGGGGATTAAATAAGATCATGTACAAAGGCATCTGGACTATGTTTATATAATTTAGAGCTCAAAAACATTATATTACTGTTATTTCCATTGAATTCTGTTTATTTGTCTTTTACTATTCCTTAGTACTGAGTACTTAGTATTTTGGAAACTTCTAGTTTTCTTGGCTATCCTCAAGAGAACCAAATTTTTAAAGAGAGAACATTTTATCTAGAAACTAATCATGTGAATAAAAGCAATAAAGCTCAAAAGGAAAAATAAAACTTACAGAAAACAGCATTGGAAACTATATCATCTATCTCCATCTTCTCCCCCAAAAGGCTCTCCTTCCAGAGCTAAATTTTGCAAGTTCTGGATTTTACTTTATTAAGGAAGGCTGCAATTCCTTTTAATTCCTACACTGCCATCAACTGTTAGCCTCTTGTAGGGCTATTTCTGGGTTATATTCCAGGTGGCTGGAATTGCTAGATAATCAAGTAAGCAGAGAATTATTATAATCAAGATCTACCTACATAATTACCATAAAGAGATGTTCTAGTCACAACAAGAGAACACTGATAAGAATAGAAGACTTTCTACTTCCTACAAAAAACATATATAGGAGATTTGGACTCATCACCAGTGCTACAATAAAGTCAAGACACGTACGTACATACATAGATATATATAAATACATAGATATACATATACACATACGAGAGCACTTCAAAAAGTTCAAGGAAAAATATAATTAAAAAATAGTACCAATCTTCCACAAACCCTTTAAGGACCCCTTAGACGTATGCATATATGTTTGCATATATTGTATACAGAGAGACATAATTTTCATATACACATAATTGTACTTTCCTTCCTCTCCAAACTGCTCATACTCACTCTCACTCCCAAAGCCAACACCCTGTAAATTAAATTCCACAAATATTTATTGACTATCTTCCTGGTGCAAGACGCCACGTTAGAGACCTGTGATGCATAAACATGAAAGCCAGTCTTGCTATAACCTAGTGAAGGAGACTGACATACACACACACACACACACACACACGTGAAGGAACTGAGGTTGTGGTGAGATGCTGATGGTCCTCTCGGATTTAACACTCATCTATACAACTGCCTACTCAACATCTCTATCGAAATGAGCCCATACCGAAATCACCTTACCCAAACACCTGCTCGTCTTCCATTGCTGCCCATCATAGAGCTGAGCACCACAATCCACCCAGTCACCCAAAGCAGATACCTCAGTGTCCACCTCAACTCCTCCAGCTCACTAACCTCTCTTACCCACTCAGTCCAAGTTAAGTGGTTATGCTGAACATTTTTGCTTTCAGGACTATCTAGACCCTGAGCTACCTTCTAATTTTGTAGGAATCCTTTATTGTGTATGTCTTTGTGAGTGGTAAGCCAGAGAAGAGCTACTCCATTTTCCTGTTCCCTGGCAACTAGATTGGCTTGGCCAATCTCATGTTCCCATTCAGAACTTCAAATGCTAGAAAAATGTCACAAAGATGCAGGGGCAGTAGATTATTCACAGGCAGAAGAAAGTCAACAGTCCAGCAACAAAGGTAGCAGTGTCTCCAGTGGCAATGTCGACAGCAGCAACATTCTAACCAGACTATTTATGTGCTGACCTTGGCTGTGGCTTCAACCACCAGCCTCTTCCGGTTCCTATCTGTTTTTTGAACCCAGTACTCCAGCCTTCCCATCAATTCTGAAAGCTATCTATACCCTTCCAATAAATTTATTTTATGCTTAAGTCGGCCAAAGTCCATTTCTGTGGTCAACAACCAAGAATCATGACTGCCACTATGCTACTCTGTGTCGCCACAGAATACTGCACTAATGTTAGATGGTACTATCGAGGCCCATTAACTTATCTATATTCCCCACCACCCCATTCATCATTTTACTCCAGTGCAATGGCTGGTGCAAAACAAGCATGCAACAAATGTTTCCTGAATGAATTACTTAATTCCACTAATAATCAGAGCTGGAAAGAAAGAAAAAGAAAATTCTCAGTGGAGGACCACATTGTACTCCTAAAAAATCCAATGTCAACTGTGGTCAAGGGTGTCACAGTTATCAATTAGAACTACACAGCTTAATTCATTCTCCTATTCATGGATGTACAAACTAGGATTCTGCTTACCACCTGGGATACACACCACCTTCTTAAAAGGGGACGAGAGGGAGAATAATCAAATTAGGAGAGTCTATTTTATTAAGATTAGAGAGTTCTCCTATAATAAAACAAACCTAATTAGAATGAACGATGGGGAAAAATGTTCTCTCACCCAAGTGAATATCCACTAATCCTTGAGACCTAATTTAAACACTAATTTAAACTTCCTGTAAGAAGCTTTTACCACCCCCTGCCAGGCAGGCAGCCATAACTTCCTCTGTGCTCCTGTATCTCTATGTCAGCACTTAGAAAAAGGTATTACATCTATTTTTACATCTATTTCCTCAACCAGATCTCAAAATCCTCTAGGAAAATATGTTACTATGTCCAGCACCTATGTTGGTGTTTGGCATAAAGCAGAAACCAACGTTTTTGAAGTGCAACCACTTTGCTTTGATTAAAAGGTATCAGTGGAACTCTGTCCTATCTTGCAACTTTTCTGTAAATCTGAAATTACTCCAAAATAAACAGTTAAAAGAAAGGGGGAAAAAAAGTCACCAGTAGCAACTGTGTTATCACTTATCCCACCTGTCTTACATGTCATGCAAGAATATACCAGTTATTTGCCTTGTACTAGGAGGAGTTAATAATTCCACATGTAACAAACTCAAAAAAGAATGAGTAACAAACACTTGACATTTGAACCCCGACACTAATTTTGGTCAAGTAATTTAATCTGAGTCTCAGTTTGAAAAAAGGGAATAATAATTCCTACTCTACAAGGCTGCTGCGCTAAATGAAGTATACAGGGTATGTCAAATGACATATGAGCTCTTCTTATGATGTGCCCACCAATATATGTTAGTGCTGTCCCTTATACAGTGTTCCAATTCGATTAACACCTCACCACAAAACAGGTACATACTGTAACTGGTTCTACCAGGCACAGACTGTAAAATTATAATTCAAATCACCATTAGGATTATAACTGCCTATAAAATAGGAATCCTACATGTGCATCCACAGATGCTAAAATGTCCTATTCCAAAACTCCCAAATGAAACAAATGGGCTACTTAAAACCCAACGCAACCGACAGGGGTCAGCAGCTATTATCACCCACCTCCACCAGACCACTCCAGAAAAAGGACAAGCACACTCAGGGTGTGCCAGCGGGCTGGGAGGAGATGAGTGTCTATGGACAAAAACCCACTGCTGCAAACAGTGCTGTCAGGCAGCCTAGGGTCTCCCTGCAGGGGGGCAGAGATTGAAATCGTCAGTGGCTAAGACCCTTCACTTCCAGGAGTGGTGTTCGGGACTACCGGCCCTGAGCGGCCGCCCGCCCACGCCAGCGTCACTTAACGGAAGGAGGAGCGAGTGGCCGCGGTAGGGTCAGGGCACCCAGGGCGTGACACGAGTGGGCCCTGGAAGCCACTGCTGGAACTACAAGCTGAAACCTCCTCAGCTGCTGTAGTTGACGGAGTGCTCGTTTCTCACTTGGGAGAGACGGGGGCGAACCAGAACGTCCCGGATTTCGGTGCAGGGGCACGCGCGGAGCGCGCAGGGGGCTGTTTCTGCGCTGACGGGCGGACGGGGTCGGGGACAGCGAGGCCCCGCTGGGTCCGCG